ACCCAATCCCTCAACCCTAAACCCTACACCAACCCGAACCCTAAACCCTAAACCCTTAACCCCCACACCCAAACCCGAACCCTAAGCCCTCAAGCCTAAACCGGATGAACTCCCACCTTATACACGGTTTAGGGTTTAGGGTTTAAGGGTCCATGCATCCAAATCGTACGTACTTTGGCCTTAAAGTAGTCCCTACAAAGGGTACTTTGGGGCCAAAGTATATACTACGGTTGATGACTTAAACCCTTGCAGTACCCATACTAAGGAATATACCATAATTCCCATAGTTTAGGGTCCTTAAGGTAATGCATGATTTATGTCATCAACAGTATTTCGACCTTTACGGGCCAGGACTTGTCTGTTGGATTTGCGATCCCTAAACCCTAAACCCTAAACCCTAAACCCTAAACCCCTAAACCCTAAACCCCTAAACCCTAAACCCCTAAACCCTAAACCCCTAAACCCTTTCTTTTCCTTCAATCAAGATCGAAGCCTGAGCGAAGTCAAACCCAGTCCCGGAATCCCTCAGTCCCAAGACCCTGGGTTTCGCGTCTTAGGTCTTCAGGGCTTTTAGGGCTTGGGGTTTCGGGTTTAAATTCAGGGTTTAGGGGTTTGGGGTTTAGGGTTTAGAGCTTTGGGTTTGGGTTTAAGGTTTAGGGCTTTGGGTTTATGGTTTAGGGGTTTCGGGTTTAAGGTTTAGGGCTTGGGGTTTAGGGTTTAGAGCTTGGGTTAAGAGGCTTAATTATGTGTTCATGGTCGAGGATTCAGGGTCTAAGAGTTAGACTGTTGAACCTGAAACCCCCTAAACCCTTGAACACTGTAGGCCCTAAACCCCGAGACCCCTGAAGTCTTCAGTTCGGTTCGCCTTGGGGTTTTGGGCCCTTCACTTGAGGTAGATCGGGTTTAGGGTTTAGGGTTTAGGGGTTTAGGGTTTAGGGGTTTAGGGTTTAGGGTTTAGGGTTTTGGGTTTGGGGCCCTTCACTTGAGATAGATAGGGTTGAGGCTTCAGGTTTAGCATGAACGAAACTTTGGCTTGTGGATTATGATAGCCTCCGCGGGGTAGGTTAGCCCGCATAAGATCCCTTATCCCTAAACCATACACCCTAAATCGTCAAACCTGACGCCTTACAGAAACCGCAAACACTAAACCCTAAGCCCTAAACCCTAAAAACCCTAAAAACCCTAAAAGCCCTAAACCCTCAAACAACCCCTAAAAAAGGAACCCCCCTCAATGGCCCTTCCAGATCTCCGGCAGGCGATGCACCGGCGCGTGGTGGACGTCTGCCGCTCCGACGGCCGGACGTGGTCGCAGCGAAGAGAGGCGACTCCTGGGCTTAGGGCTTCAGGGTGTTTAGGGTTTTTAGGGGTTTATGGTTTAAGGTTTTAAGGTTTAGGGTTTAAGGTTTAGGGTTTTAGGGTTTAGGGGTTTAGGGTTTAGGGTTCAGGGTTTAAGGGTTTAGCGTTCAGGGTTTAGGGATGTTTAGCGTACAGTCCTAAGGGCTTAGGGAGGTTTAGGGCTTGGGCTGTAGGGTTCAGGGCTTGTGGTTCAGGGCTTAGGCATGTTCCCTAAACCCTAAACCC